CAATTTTCACTAGGAAAAGAGAGAGAGAGAGAGAGAGAGAGAGAGAGAGGGAATCGATTTCCACTGAAAACACACTGAAAAATTGTTTGTGTACTGTTAATAGATCATTGCCAGTTTTTTTCAGCTGCACTGTTGTACAGTGCTTGAGTTTTGTACACTAATTTTCACAACTAATCCTCATTAAAACTTTTTTTACCCTTCCCAGGCTACGGCGACAAGCCGCCAAAGACGGACGCCGGCAAGGTGGCCGTCATGCTGTACTCCTTTGTGGGCATTCCCCTGCTCCTCATTGTCCTCGCCGACTTCGGAAAGATCTTCACGAAGCTCATCAAGCTGATGCTCATCTACATCCGCCGCCTCTACTACAACCGCTCCTTTCGACAGGTGCGCCGGGCGACGAGGACGGCGAAGATTCAGGGGGCGATTGCCGATGCCTTTGCGAAGATGCAGCGGCCGCCGCCCTTCTTCGTCGACCCCGTCACGGGGAAGCTGACGATGTGGCCCTCGAAGCCCGACGAAGAGGAAGGAGGAGGCTCTTCAGACCTTGAAGCAGGATCAAAAAGAGGAGGAGGTACTCCTACCTCGGCTCGAAGATCACCACATGCTCCAGCGGTGACCTTCTCTCCTGCCACACCCACCACAGCGACGCCCCCGGAGACGCCGATGCCCGCCGACGCCGTCATCCTCGACTTTGACGACATCGACGAGGAGTTTGACCTGCCGGTCTCCCTCGCCCTGACGATCCTCTTCGTCTACCTCCTGCTGGGCGCCTTCATCTTCTGGGCCTCGGAGAAGTGGAGCCTCCTCAACGCCTTCTACTTCGTCTTCATCTCCATGTCGACGATCGGCTTCGGCGACCTGGTGCCGGGCGTGCACGTCCTCATTGGCGCCTTCATCTACTTTCTCTTTGGCCTCGCCCTTACCTCTATGTGCATAAATGTGCTGCAGTTGAAGCTGAGCAGTACCTTTGAGCTGGCGAGGATGACCATCGAGGAGTCGATCGGCCTGGACCCCTCGACGCCCATCACCATGGTGGTGCCGGATGGAGTTGGAGGAGGGGGTGGTGATTCGAAAAGTGGCGGCTCCTCGGAGAAGAGCTCCAAGGACAACAGTCGGAGGAGTAGTCAGGAGGTGGTGACGGGAGGAGGTGGTGGTGACAACAAGACCACCAAGAAGGAGTTGCCCAAGGGAGTTGTTCAACAACCACAGCCACCACCACAGCCGCCGTCCAGAGCATCAAGAGAGGGAGCTTTGAGAAGATGAGTTATCTATCTCCCTCACCATTTCCAAGTAAGACAAAATAGTAAATATTTGATCATCTTTTCTTTCACTTTCGATTTGATTTGATTTGGTGATTATCATCTTCTCGCTCACTCATCTCACTCTCATCTCACTCTCATCTCACTCTCTCACTTTGACTGCTGATTTTTGTCTGCGTCAATTTGTCTCCTCTCATCTCATTTCCATTTCTTCGTTTGCATTTCTTCTTCTGTGCCCTCCTCCTCATCATCAAAAATCAGAACTGAACAGCAGCTTATGCAACAGGAGTGAAATGCTGCTACTGATGATAATATATTTTTCTGTACCAGTTATACACTGCACTAAAAGTACTGCAGCCGCAGCTGAATGAATTGATCGCGCACGTTGTTCCCACTTTAATTTTAATTAGCTCAGCAGCAACAGCTCGTTAGCTGAGGCAAATCTAAAAATAGATCTACCGATCTCTTGCTCTCACTTTCACTACTTTGAAAATCGAAAAGACGATCGAGGGAGTTGATTATCACTATGCTAAAATCAACAGTCTTTAAAGCTTGTCGTTCAAGGTCAGCAGACGTACTCACTTTCTCTCTGTTGTCTGTCTGCTATCAGTGGCCATCAATCAGTGCCAAGTGACTTTTTGCCACTCTTTCTTTCTGTCTTTGGATCTTTTTCACCCCACTGTTCTTTTATCAATGAGCCATCAGAATCGTTGCCATCTTTCACTGGCTGGGTTTGCCCACTACCACTACCACCACCTTCAATCAGGAGATCTACTGTCTGGATAAGAATCGCGTATATTCTAGCAGCCGTAAGGCTTCTGAAAAATGGACAGTCTTGTAGACATTGTATAGCGAAGGTGAAGGTGGTGGTGGTGATGGATAACTTCTACTTTTTCTTCACCCTTCTGGGTTCTATTTCTTCGGTGTCATCTTTAAATATTTGCAAATAAAACCGGTGTCGCCAGGTCAACGAGTGGTAAAATTATTCACCCTCACAAGACATGCCTAAAATTAGCATAGCAAGGGAAACAAGTGGTACAACAGTGGAAAAAAGGACCTGTCTTGATAAGGAAAAAGGCACAGGTAGAACACCTTTTTTCGACGGTATAAATAGACCTGATGCGCGGGCGATGCTTTTCTATTCACCTCACTTCACTTCACTTTCCTTTGATCATCAAAAGCTTTACCCAAAACTCTAGTAGTTTTTTCACCATGAAGTTCAGTATTGTAAGTTTCTGATTTGTTGTTGCTCTGAATTTTGTCTAATTCTTTTTTTCTTACTTTTAGGTGATCCTCCTCTTTGCCAGCCTGGCGACGATGACGACGCTGAGCGAGGCCTTTGGCGGCAAGGCCCTGCTCGGTGGCGCCCTGCTCGCCGGCGGCGCCCTCGCCGGTGGCGCCCTGATCGGTGGCGGCCTGGCTGGCGCCAGCGGCTTCTACGGCCGTGGATTCTACGGGCGTGGGTACTACGGCGGCGGCGGAGGCTATGGCGGTGGGTACTATCCTCGGGCGTACGGCTACGGCTATGGAACGCCGGTGTACGCTGGTGGGTACTACGGGGGCGGGTATGCGGCGGCGCCCGTGTACGCCGGCGGATACTACGGTGGCGGCGGTTATGGGTACCCGTGCTAAAGAAGATCTGCTCAACTCATCATCGTTTTATCTCAAGTGCTAGATCTTTGCTCTCTATCTGCCCTCTTTATTCAAAATAAAGGTTTGTGAAAGATCTTTTTGCTGCTT